TCGCAAGGGGGCGACCAGGAAATCTCGCAAGGGGGCGACCAGGAAATCTCGCAAGGGGGCGACCAGGAAAGCTCGCAAGGGGGCGACCAGGAAAGCTCGCAAGGGGGCGACCAGGAAAGCTCGCAAGGGGGCGACCAGGAAAGCTCGCAAGGGGGCGACCAGGAAAGCTCGCAAGGGGGCGACCAGGAAAGCTCGCAAGGGGGCGACCAGGAAAGCTCGCAAGGGGGCGACCAGGAAAGCTCGCAAGGGGGCGACCAGGAAAGCTCGCAAGGGGGCGACCAGGAAAGCTCGCAAGGGGGCGACCAGGAAAGCTCGCAAGGGGGCGACCAGGAAAGCTCGCAAGGGGCGACCAGGAAAGCTCGCAAGGGGGCGACCAGGAAAGCTCGCAAGGGGGCGACCAGGAAAGCTCGCAAGGGGGCGACCAGGAAAGCTCGCAAGGGGGCGACCAGGAAAGCTCGCAAGGGGGCGACCAGGAAAGCTCGCAAGGGGGCGACCAGGAAATCTCGCAAGGGGGCGACCAGGAAATCTCGCAAGGGGGCGACCAGGAAATCTCGCAAGGGGGCGACCAGGAAAGCTCGCAAGGGGGCGACCAGGAAAGCTCGCAAGGGGGCGACCAGGAAAGCTCGCAAGGGGGCGACCAGGAAAGCTCGCAAGGGGGCGACCAGGAAAGCTCGCAAGGGGGCGACCAGGAAAGCTCGCAAGGGGGCGACCAGGAAATCTCGCAAGGGGGCGACCAGGAAATCTCGCAAGGGGGCGACCAGGAAATCTCGCAAGGGGGCGACCAGGAAAGCTCGCAAGGGGGCGACCAGGAAAGCTCGCAAGGGGGCGACCAGGAAAGCTCGCAAGGGGGCGACCAGGAAAGCTCGCAAGGGGGCGACCAGGAAAGCTCGCAAGGGGGCGACCAGGAAAGCTCGCAAGGGGGCGACCAGGAAAGCTCGCAAGGGGGCGACCAGGAAAGCTCGCAAGGGGGCGACCAGGAAAGCTCGCAAGGGGGCGACCAGGAAAGCTCGCAAGGGGGCGACCAGGAAAGCTCGCAAGGGGGCGACCAGGAAAGCTCGCAAGGGGGCGACCAGGAAAGCTCGCAAGGGGGCGACCAGGAAAGCTCGCAAGGGGGCGACCAGGAAAGCTCGCAAGGGGGTGTGCGCGGGAAATCTTGCAAGGGGTTGCGCATCGAAAACCCACGAGGGGTGCGTGCTGAAAACCCACAAGGGAGTCTGGGGGGAATTACCCGGGAAACCCTGCGAGGGGCTGCTGCTGCTGCTGCCAGTCGTGTCAGAGGGACATCGGTGGCGGACAGGCAGAAGTAAGCGGAGAACGAGAGGTGCACGTGAGAATACGCCCACCCTCACACCCCCACCGGGTCCTCTCCCCTTCTCTCACCTCAGCAAACTCGTCCGCCCATCCCGTGCTGCTGCTCTCCCCCCCCGCCTCCCGCCACCGCTGCTGCTGCTGCGCCTCAAACTCCCCAACCCACCCTCCCGCCCCTCCCCCTCCACTCCCGCCCACCACCCTTCCCTCCCCTCCCCCCACCCCCCCCGCATCCTTCCAAAAGTCTTCAAACTCCCGAAACCTTCCCCCCAGCGGCCCAGGCGCGCCCATGAGCGCAGAAGAGCCCTCCCCCGCGTCGTCCACGCCCAGGGAGCGCAGCAGCGCGGCGACCTGCGCGGAGGCGAAGCCCTCCCCCTGCTGCGCGAACATGTGGCGCGCCAGGATGGCGGAGCGGTTGCGGATGCGCGCCTGGTCCGCGGGGGACAGGTGCGCCAGCGCGGGCAGGGGCCCATGCGCCTGCAGGTGGAAGGGGCGGCCCGCCTGGGTGGAGGCGAAGAAGGAGTGGAGCAGAGAGCGCACCGCCTGCTGCTGCTGGGGGGGAAGGCCGGGGACTGGGGGAAAGAGGAGGAAGGGAGAAGCGGGGGAAAGGGCCAAGGGTGGGGGGAACGGGAAGGGAGGACGGGGAGAGGTGGAGGAGGGGTAATGTACGCACGTGAGAGGTTTGAAAAAGTGGGAAGAAGGGCAAGAATGCGAAACGGCTTGCAACAAGTCTGGCATATCCAGTGGCATATCCCATCTCCTCCTCACTTGCAGGCGGCTGCAGGGCAGCATCACCAGTGGCAGCAGCAGCAGCAGCAGCGCCGCCGTCCAGAGACATCCCCCCAAAGATTTGCTCAAACTCCCGGAAATGAGCCGCGGCTGCTGCATCGGGCAGTGCCATGCCTGCCACCATGCCTGGCGGCAAGGCCTGGGCGTGCCGAGCCTCGTTCCAGACGGCCTCCAGGTGAGCGTCGGGCGGCGCTGCCGCTGCTGCCGGGCCGGGTGCATGGAAGGACGACAGGAACTGCTGCGCCTGCAGGGGAGGGGGAGACGGAGGGGAGGGAGGGAGGGAGGGAGGGAGGGAGGGAGGGAGGGAGGGAGGGAGGGTGGGAGGGAGCGAGGGAGGGAGGGAGGGCGGGAGGGAGGGAGGGAGGGAGGGAGGGAGGGAGGGAGGGGAGGGAGGGAGGGAGGGAGGGAGGGAGGGAGGGAGGGAGGGAGGGAGGGAGGGAGGGAGGGAGGGAGGGAGGGAGGGAGGGAGGGAGGGAGGGAGGGAGGGAGGGAGGGAGGGAGGGAGGGGGGAGGGAGGGAGGGGGAGGGCGGGAGGGCGGGAGGGAGGGAGGGAGGGAGGGAGGGAGGGAGGGAGGGAGGGAGGGAGGGAGGGAGGGAGGGAGGGAGGGAGGGAGGGAGGGAGGGAGGGAGGGAGGGAGGGAGGGAGGGAGGGAGGGAGGGCGGGAGGGAGGGAGGGAGGGAGGGAGGGAGGGAGGGACATGGAAGGGAGAGCGTTGGAGGGAGGAGGACGAGGGGGGGAAGGGGAGGGAGAGAGGGGGGATGGGTGGGAGGTAGGTGGGCGGGAAACGGAGATTTTGAATTCAGAATCCGTGTGCCGTGATTGCTTGCAAGCCAAGCCTATTGGCACGGTTCCCACATCATGCGAGCATGCACCGGACGCCTCAATCTCAAGCCCGCTGGGACTCACCTGGAGCGACGGCCCCATGGGTCCCCCCATGGCGCTCTGCATGTCGGCGCCTGGCAGCGGCATGTGTGGCATCGCTGCAGCCCCACCTTCCGCCGGACCAAACAGGTTGCCGCCCGAGGCTTGCCCCGGACCTGCCAGGCTCGGCAGCTCGCGAACTCTCTCCTGCCACGGCGAATGGGGGAGAGGCATTAGGTGCACGGAGAGTGAGAGACTGGCAACACTAGCAGCTAGCTCGAAGCAACCACCGATTTCACCCGGGGGGAGAGATATTGGGTACACGGAGGGAGTGAGACTCGCAGCTCCAGACGACTCACCCACGCAAACCCTAGCCACTCTTGCAAACCGTAGCTCAGCATACGAGCAGCCCTCACCTGCTGCAGGCATTCCGCGAGAGCGCACGCCATGCGAACCCCTAACTTAGCATACGCGCTGGTCGCAATCCCGCGAGACGAAAAGCACCCCTCACCTGCGGCTTCGCGCCGGAATTCAGGATGGAGTCGGCGAGCGCGCACTAGCCAGCCACCATGCGAGCCTTAACTCCGTATATGAGTATCGCGCCCGCGGCACCGAGAGCACCCCTCACCTGCTGCTTGGCGGCAGATCCCAGGATGGAGTCCGCAAGCGCGCCGAGCGGGTTGCTGGACGAAGAGGACGGCCGCTCGCCCGGCACGGAGCACCCGCCGCCGCCCGTCACCATGCCGCGAATCGACATGCTGCCCGGCAGCACCGCGGGTATCGCACGGTGGGTGTCGTACGGTAGGTGTCGCTCGGTGGGTGTCGTACGGTGGGTGTCGCAAGGTCGGATCGGATCGCACAGTCGGCCACGCACGGTGAGTGCTCGAACGGCGGTGATTAGAATGTGTGAGCTTTGGGTTGAACGACTACTCGCACGGCGAGTCAGAGAGAGCGCACAACAGCTAAAGGTTGCGAACGACTTCTGACTTGACTCAACGCCACTTCGGAAGAAAGAGAGAGACGGAGAGAGCGTCGGACAAGGTTTGCGAACGCACGTAACACTGCGATGCTACCGCCCGGCCTTTGAAGTCTGGTCTAAGCTGCTGGTAACGAGTAAGCTCGTCGTGCCGAGTACGCTGCTATTGTAAGCTGCTCGTAGCGATTAACTCGCGACCGAGATTCGCTTGCACCGCTGAGGGAGATAGCCGATGGCGACCAGGACGAGGGAGATGAGCCTTCACGAGGTACCTCTTACCAATTAGGTCAGGGAGTAGGTAAGTGAAAAAGGGTGAGGCTGGATAAGATTGCGGGCCAGCCTGTCGCTGTTAGGTTGGTGCAGGAACAGCTATCTCCCAGTGAACATCAAGGCTCATAGGTGCTGTAACTAACTCAAATGAAAAAACATGTATACAAAATTCCATAGCAAAAAGTTCCACGTCAATTTCCAAGATGTAGGGTTATGACCGTTCTCGTACACGCTATCCGTGATTGTTATGATGACCATTTCATATATGATGAACGGAAAATTGTGCATGTAACAATGGCATTATTTGTGGAACTAACAAGCCATACATTTTATTTCTTTTTTACAGAAAGATGCATTTTAGGAAGATCTTTTTACATGCAAGTTGTAGCATTGAAGACCACTCTGTGATCCCTTATTGTGCTGAAGGCGTTCAATCGGCGATTGAATGGGTCATGGTCTCGGAGTTTGAAATTATTCATGGCACGGACCAATGCCAAATTGGCTGTTTCGCATAAACGAATCATAGCGCTCACCGCCCGTCGCAAACACTCGCATAGGTCGTACATCTGGAAAGGCTCCTCCTCATTGGGTGGGGTTGGGTGGGAACGATCGTCCAGTCATGCGCAGCACGACTCGGCGGTCGAAAAGATTCAACATTGGGGTAGGGATTGAACCCAATCCGCGGTGCGAAGGGCTCAAGGGGAGCTCTCTCTCGCACCAGAGAATCACATAAAGTTGGCATTCGGGATGTGAAGAGCAGTCCAGTTGTCCACATTTCAACTTCCCATTTGGCTCATCTCCTTTCTGTAGAGCTACTCGCCAACCGCCCTTCTTCCTCTCTCCTTTCATACATTAGTCGCACACCACATTCTCCGCCTTGACATTTCCCCAGTGACTTTTCATTCCCGCCGTGTTGATTTCGCCTTGCGATCTGCTCTTCAGCGATTTGCCGAATTGGCCTCTGGCGAAGAAGAAACGACAGCAAACGATGTTAGAGTACTGGAATCTAGGTAGGAGGGAAGCCATAGAATGGCGTGAGATTTTAGGCTAGGAAAAATATCGAGAGAGAAGAGAATGAGATTAGAAGAGAGAAGGATACAATGAGGGAGTTGTACCCTCTACAGTAGGATCCAATAAAACCTATCAAGCCTACAATTTTATATATATAATATAATTTAACACACCCCCTAGGCTTGGTAGTCACAAGCCCATCCCACACGCAACACCTCTAAGCCTAGCACCCCTATACCCTGCAGCAGAGGTGACTGAATGGAAGGAAGGCACTAGGCCTTCTAGAGATGCGGCGGGGCGGAACTAGCTGGCGTGGCGAGCTGGGACCAACGCGGCGAGCTGGGTCCGCTGGGACCGACGCGGCGAACTGGGTCCGACGCGGCGAACAGGGTGCAACACGACGAGTTGAGGAAGCGTGGCGAGCTGGAGTGCGGGCTTGCTGCATAGTGCCTAAACCAGTGCGTGGCCCACTGCCGCCCGTGCGCTGACGCGACGACGGCGGCACGACGAAGCCGCCATGTCGAGGCTGCCACGGCAACGCGACAAAGCCGCCATGGCAGCACGACATTGTCAAATTATATATTTGTTATATAATTGTAGGCTTGGTAGCTGTTGCTGAAACCTACTGTAGAGGGTACAACACCACTCCTTGTATCCCTCTCTTTTCTATTCTCGATCTCTTTTCTCTCGTCAACTTTCTCCTAGCTAAACCCTCTCGCCATTTTCATGGCTTCCTAGCTACCTAGCTCCCGTGATATGGTATCACAGCAGGTTGCCCTTCCCGGGCCTGCTCCCTACGCTTCCGCCGCGCACTCCTCCTCTCCCTCTCGCGCTGCCATGGCGGCCGCGTCGTGCTGCTGTGGCAGCGTCGTCGTGCCACCGGCCGCGTCGTGCTGCCGCAACCGTTTCGTCGCGCTGCCGTGGCGTCGACGTCGAGCCGTAGCGGCGTGACGGCACTGTCGTGCTGCCAGCGCGCGTACGGCACGGTCGGCAGCGACCAGCGCCCCGTTTTAGGCGCCGCTCGACTTGACGCCCGCATGCCAGCCACAGGCGTGATGCTGGTTCATGCCCCTTCCCCCCCCCCTTTTCCCTTGCGTCCCCTCCTCCTCGCCACAGCCGACACCTGACTCGTGAGGTCTTCCCCATCGTCGCGGAGCTTGGCCACGCCGCCGAGAGGGCGGGGGCCGCTGCAATCGCCATTGTCGTCGAAGCCGCCGCCGCTGTCGCCGCTGGCCTGTTGCCGCCGCACGCCGCCGCCGCCGCCGCTGTCGTAACTGCCGCCGCTGACGCCGTCGCCAACTCACGGGCCGTGGGGCTGGCCATGCCGGAGTAGTCGTGGCTGCTGCTGGGAATGGGGGTGCTAGGTTAGGGGTTGTGGGTGTGTGTGGGTTCTTCTACTACCAAGCCTAGGGGGTGTGTAAAATTATATATTTGTTATATAATTGTAGGCTTGGTAGCTATTACTGAAACCTACTGTAGAGGGTACAACACCTTTCCTTGTATCCCTCTCTCTTCTATTCTCGATCTCTTTTCTCCCGTCAACTTCCTTCCAGCTAAACCCTCTCGCCATTTTCATGGCTTCCTAGCTACCTAGCTCCCGTGACAGACACGGCCGCCACGGCAGCGCGGAAGTAACGAGAAGGGGGGGGGGGGGTTACGCGGCGGAAGCGTGAGGAGGCGGCCCAGCAGGAAGGACCTCCGGATCTGATACCATGTTAGAATACTCGAATCTAGGTAGGAGGGAAGCCATAGAATGGCGTGAGGTTTTAGGCTAGGAAAAATATCGAGAGAGTAGAGAATGAGATTAGAAGAGAGAGGGATACAAGGAGGGAGTTGTACCCTCTACAGTATGATCCAGCAAGACCTACCAAGCCTATAATTATATATATATATAATATATATAATTTAACAAACGAATGGCGCGCTGCAATTCGCCCGTTTTCATCATTCTTGTCATGGATGTGACGATTCCCTTCTGCGTTTCGGCACGTGTGGCGGCGCAATCGTTAGCGGAAACCTGTGGTCAGTATGAGCCTGTTGCCGTGAACCAGAAAATCGAAGATCTTGCGAAGTTGGCCCTCTAGTGGAAAACGGTAAAGTTCGCCCTGACAACAGTCATGTCGTCAACTCGAGACATCGTTTTTCCGAGTTCATTCTCCAACATCCCATCAGCGCGCCTTGCGCCTTGCGGCTTACGAGCCTTCCCCTTCCTCCCCCACTTCTCTTCCCACACCAACCCTTTCTCCTGCTTCCCTCCCCCTCCACCTCCCCCCTCCCCCTCTCTGTCCCCCCCTGTCCAGCACGGGGACTACAACTTCAGCTCCATACTCTCGGCTCAGAAGGAAGTCAGTAATCCAATCGTCACCTGTCGCATCACGATCAAATCCGTAAAAACCCGGAGCGGCTCCGGAGGCAGGGGTGGCGGTGGCAGCCCCTGTCACGAGAGCTTGGTAGCTAGGAACGGTAGGAAGCTATAGAAATGGCGAGAGGTTTTAGGCTAGGAAAGTTGACGAGAGAAAAAGGGGTCAATAATAGAAGAGAGAGGGATACAAGGAGGGGGGTTGTACCTTCTACAGTTTGTTGCAATAACACCTACAAAGCCTACCAATTATATAACAAAATATATCATTTAACACACCCCCTAGGCTTGGTAGTAACAAGCCCACACACACCCACACCTCGTAACCTAGCCCGCCCATTCCCAGCAGCAGCCACGATGACTCCGGAATCGGTCAACACCAACGGCCCGGGAGATGGCAATGGCGGCAGTCGCGGCAGTGACGAGAGCGACGGCGGCGGCAATAGGCCAGCGGCAACAGCAGCGGCGGCGGCGACTTCAACGTTAGATGCGAGTGCAGCGGCCCCCGCCCTCTCGGCAGCATGGCCAATCTCATCGGCTGTGGAGAAGGCCCTCACAAGGAAGGCGTCGGCTGTGGCAAGGAAGAGGGGACGCAGGGGAAGGAGGGGGGGGGGGGGGTGGGGGGGGGCGTGGTCCAGAATCACGCCCGTGGCTGGCGTGCGGGGCCGGCTGCAGCCCGACAACGCCGTCACAGAGCGGCGTCGATGCCGAGGCGGGACGTCGACGCTGCGACGGCAGCACGACGGTGCCGTCACGCCGCCACGGCTGGACGTCGACGCCACGACGGCGCGACGCCACGGCAGCGCGTCGTGACGGCCGTGGGACGATGTAGCCAGCGACACGACGATGCCGCCATAGCAGCACGACGCGGCCGCCATGGCAGCGCGAGAGGGAGAGAAGGAGTGCGCGGCGGAAGCGTGGGGAGCAGGCCCGAGAAGGGGAACCTGCTCTGTTACCATGTCACGAGAGCTAGGTAGCTAGGAACGGTAGGAAGCCATAAAAATGGCGAGAGGTTTTAGGCTAGGAAAGTTGACGAGAGAAAAAGGGGTCGAGAATAGAAGAGAGAGGGATACAAGGAGGGGGGTTGTATCCTCTACAGTTGGTTGCAATAACATCTACCAAGCCTACCAATTATATAACAAAATATATAGTTTAACAGCCCCAGCAGCGGCGGCAGCCCCGGCAGCGTTTTGGCGCTCTAAAGCAGGGTGCGTCGAAGCTTGTGTCGATGCTGAGGGGCGGCAACGCGAAGAACGAGAAGAAGAAGCCACAGCCCGTGAAGGACAAGGTGGTGACGTGGCAGGCGGACGTGGTGGACCGTAAGGAGGATGAAAATGGTGACTACATCATCGAGTCCGAGGTGATGAGATTTGTGAAGCTGTAAGGGGGGGATGGGGGAGAGGCTGGCGCGGAGAAGGTCGATTGGCAGGGGTTAGTCCCAGAACGAGTGGGTTTGGTTTGGAAGCGATGGTTGGGCTTGTGTCAAATGTGCAGGGTGATCTGAAAGTTGGGTTCCATAGGAGCAGCTACACTTGAGTTCCTACTTGAACCACGTCCCAACTCTGTCGTATGTGTACCATGGGACATAATTAATTTGATGAATTCTCTTCCTTTGGTCGTCCCAACTCATGCTAAGTGATGTAATGTCACACACATGACGTTTCAGAGTGTTACAAAGCGCACACCAGGCCCCTAGATTGCAGGAAAATTTTCCTGATTCAGGAAAAAAACAGACCCCGTTGGCGGGCCGGTCCTGATTGCGTAGGGTTTTTTTTGTTCGGCATCCTGTTTTTTCAGCGGTTTTTTTGTAGTGAACTCTGATCACTCCGCATGGTTTATGTAACGCGTCCTGAAATTTCTGACACTCTAATGCGTACGCGTCCTGATTTTGTCAATACCGGGATTTGCGCTCCCCGCTCTCCCCCCCCCCCCCCCCCCCTTCCCCCCACGTGTTTCCCTCAAATCATGTCAAGGTCCCTGAAATTTCGCCCAAGTTACCGACCAGCCGAGTCATATGCTGCCCAGCTCACTGCACGGTGACAACTGATTGGCTTAGGGCGGAACCTACAGCACAGCTGTATACTGAAGGCATCGATGTTGCACGATCTGATTGGTGCTAAGGCAAATGTGGTATCGTCAGCCAGTAACAAAGCCTACCGTTGCGCCAGCACACTGGTGCTGTCATGCAGACCGGGTGACAATGAAGCAACAGATGCATGCATTGCGCTGGCCTCTCGAATGAAGGCCAAATGCAGCCCCATTGTCGTCTCTCCATTCGAGTCGAATCGCGCCCCCCTTTCTTGTCGAGGTCATTCTTACGTTGGGGCAAAATTGCCCCTCTCACTGACTCGTTGCCTAGCTTTCTTCTCAGTCTCACCTGTCGTGCAAGAAGCCCTCCATCGTCTCTCTCACGTTGATCGCTCTACTGCCCCCCACGTCGCCATGGCTGCCGCCGGCGACGAGGCTCCTGAGGACGATGCTGACGGCCATGTCGCAGCTATGGCCGATGCTCGATCAGGGCTAGACATGCTACTGTCTAGCCTGTCTTCGCTACGCAGCAATCCTAGGGCAGTAGAGGCCCGTGTAGCACCCACCACCATCAATGGAAGAGCGGGCATCCTTACGATGCCCGCAGTCAGAAATACCCCACCCGCAGTAGCGCGACTGCAGCCGATCCACCCAGCGAGCGCTTCCTCCCCAGAGGCTGTGCAAGCAATGCCACCTGGCTGCTGGAGTCTTCCCGTTCCGGTTCATGCTGCAGAAATTTCGGTACCTGGTCCGTCGACGTTCCAACCCGCAGACAGCGCCTCTCCAGCGGCTGTCCCGCCAAAGTCTGCCGCGCGTGTGAGTCGAGACAGCACAGTCCCCGTTGCCGAATCCCCGCCCCCAGCTGTACCCGGGCCGTCGTCTACTCAGCCCGCTTACGACTCCTCTCCTGCGTCTGTCTCTCAGCGGCCTTGTGGGCGCTACCGGCAGGCTGTTCTGCCATTTGGTCAGCCCAAAGTGAAACAGCCATCACCGCCCGATGAAGAAGCTGCCGACGCCGACGATGTTGACGACACCCCAAACAGGTCGTCGACCAAGACAACGAGTTCTGAGGAGCAGTATGCGGAGGCTCACAGCAGGTTTAAGACCCGTTGGTCGACGCGATTCCCGTGGCTTGTCATTTTAAAGACTGACTCTGGCTTGCCTGCCTTTAAGTGCACCCTATGCTTGGAGCACGCAGGTCTTTCTGGGAAGGCTGGCAAGCGTGGCCCAGGCCTATGCGATGCTCAGACTTAGGCGTTCACACGGCATGCGGGGTCCGGCAAGCACCAACTCGCTCTGCAGAAGCAGAACGATCTGCTGCAACAGGCAACCAGACAACAACGCATCGATCAACATCCCCTTGCCGGGGACCTTGAGAGGGAGCGCGTCACTGCCCTGCTGGACGCCTTGTGGTTCTGCTGCAAGACTAACGAGCCGGCCGAGACATGGATCCGGCTCGTTCAGTACCTGGCGTCGCGGAAGGTGACGGGTTTCCCGCAGCAGGCCTACGGCACGTACTATAACACGTGAGTATACAATCATCACCGCTTAGCTACGGACTTCATTCTGTTAATGCCCTCTATGTTCTCTGATTATTTAGACCCTCCGAATGGTGCGCGTCTTAGGTTGCACGTCGTACTTACAGTGTGTGTTAGTCCATGTGAACCGTGCAGGTACGGATTCGGCGAATTCACACTAGCAACGGCAACCTGGCTCCAAACAACGCAGCTTCACCACCTTCTGTCGAGTCCTTACATCGGCCTCATGCTGGACGAGAGCACCGACCGCTGCCGAGGGAAGCACTTGATTGTGTACGCCCACTTCATCCGTGACAACCGGCTGGTGTGCGAGTACCTGGCCTTGCTGACGGTGGACAAAGCCGATGCGTCTTCACTGCTCGCCCTACTGCTTACCCACCTGAACGCCATTGGGGTGGATCTCCAGCGAGTCTCCGGGATCAGCACTGATGGGGCGGCTGTCATGATGGGGTCGAAGAGTGGGCTTGTTACTCGACTGCGCCAGCAAGTGCCTCACCTTGTGTCGTGTCACTGTATTGCGCATAGGTAAGATATGTCATCCTGAGTACAAGAGTTAACGCCGTCTTCAACTTTGCTTGCAATATGCTAATGTATTGGTTTCACGTTTTGTCATGCAGGGAGGCTTTGGCAGCCAAGGCAGCATCAGAGGCGCTTCCGGTGTTTCAAATTGTGGATGACTTCATCAAGGAGCTGGCGGAGTACTTCGGAAGATCCGGCCCGTGGCACCAGCGCTTTCTCGACTTGCAAGACCTGTTCCTCTCGACAACCTTGGAGCTCCAGGGTATTCACAACATTCGATGGTTGTCGAGAGGTGAGGCAATCTCGAGGTTGCTGGCGGTGTTGCCTGCGCTTGTGGTTATGCTCAAAGAGTTCCCCGACAACAGGCTCTACAGAATTGCGACCAGTTACCGCTTCTGGTTCTTCGTCCACTTCCTTGCTGACGTCCTCGAGCAGCTCAACATCCTCAACAAGGGCTTTCAGGAGCGCGAGGTGAGATAACAATTGCATTAGCGTGGTGGTATACTTGCGGACGTCACTTTATATTGTTGTCCTACCTTGCTTGCCCCCGACCTTCCCCCATCCCCCCATCAGCTGGACTACCTGACCGTCCACGCGTCCGTCCTTCGCATCACCAGCCTGTTCCTGAGCCGCTACGTCGATTGCGGGGATGAGTTCGGGGGTGGCCCGAAGGACCGTCTCACCAACTTCCTCACCCTTCATGGTCCTGGCGGTTCTCGCGAGGTCACTGTCAGTGGCGTGGACTCCGACGGGAGTCTCACGAGCTTCACATTTGAGCTTCACGTTGACACGCTGCAAGGGTACCCTGGGGGAGGGAAGCATGACAACTGCGTGGTGGCTTGCATGGACCTGGCGGAAGGGATGGTGAATAACCTGAACGAGCGCCTCGGGGATCTTCGCAAGCTGGCGGGGGTAAAGCTGTTCTGCGTTTCTGCCTGGCCGAAGGACTGGGATCGGTATGCGAGGAGGGTGCAGTGCTTGGAATGGTTCCACTCTTTGGTGGGGCTGTACAACGCGGAGCAGAGGAACGAGATCCTTCCAGGTGAACTCGTTACCATTAAACCCACCGACATGTACCATTGTACAACTGAGACTGTTGCACATGTGTTGTCTCTTTCTCTCAGTTGACTGTCTCCACCATAACCTTACACCACTCCCCCGACCTCTTTTCCCGTCTGTGGCAGGCATCGACAAGCGCCAAGCACTGCGGGAGTTGCCACACTTCACCCCGATCCTTGCTGCACTTCCGAAGAGCGAAAAAAGCTTCCACGCTGGCCTCACTGCGATGCTGAAGACAGCAGACTGGCAAGATGCCTACCCCAACCTCATGAAGCTGTGGGTGGCAGTGGCCGTGCTTCCGCTGAGCACGGTGGAATGTGAGCGGGGATTCTCACGACAGAATGTCATCAAGTCGTGGCTGCGGGGCAGCCTGAAGGACACACGGCTGAGCGATCTCATGTGCATCAGTCTGCTCGATTATGAGCCAAACTGGGACGAGGTGGTGGATGTGTGGCGGGCATACAAAAAGAGAAAGCCTTTCAGTACCGTGGCACAACCTAGGCTGCTCAGGTATAAGGGAAAGGAGGTGGTGGAGGAGGGACCTGTAGAAGTGTCGTCGACCATGGATTTTGCCATGGATGAATGAGATGCTTTATAAGTCTTAAATATGAATCATTGCTGGATCCGCTTTAACTACGTATTGCAAGCTTTGATGTGTGATATGATGTGATGTGATGTGATCTTCCAATGCAAAAAGCACCACGGTCATGCAGGACCCTAAATGTAAGGAACCCTGAAAAAACAGGCATCTTTTCAAAAGCTGTCCTGACTCATAAGCTTGGTTTCCACTAGGCGTCCTGAAAATACAGGCAAAAAACGAGCGCCACCCCTGAGTCATCAGGAGGCCTCAAAACCAATCTAGGGGCCTGGCGCACACGCATGCAAGGCATCCCCTACAAGAGGTGAGGGTGGAGCGGGAAGTCTGAGTGTGTAACCAACTTCTACATCATCTATCACAGACAGCCCTCATGGCAATCTGAGGGAAGGAGAAGCTATAACCTGTCTGCACTTGTGCTGTGCACACGACTTCAACACGGGCACCTACATGGACACGCCCAATCACCATGCACCATGCTCAGCATCAGAGGTACTCAACAATTCAGGAGAATAAGTCAAGGTATGTGCACACCCCATCCGAACATCCAAGCTAATACACCACTTATTACCATCACATATATATGATGTTTCCAAATGATACCTGATGGCCTGTGCGAGAGGAAGGAGGGGGGGGGGGGGCAGGGGGGTGGCTACCTGAGCAAGAGCAGAAGTGTTGCAGTAAGCTGTCGCACAGAACACCACCACCGTGTCCTCTTGTCTGTCCACTGGTTGGGGATTCAGGGTTGGCCGAACGGGGTGGTTGGGGGGACACGGGGGTGATTGAGGGAGCACGGGGGTGATTGGGGGAGCACGGGGGTGATTGGGGGAACACGGGGGTGATTGGGGGAACACGGGGGGGATTGGGGGAACACGGGGGTGATTGGGGGAACACGGGGGTGATTGGGGGAACACGGGGGGGATTGGGGGAACACGGGGGTGATTGGGGGAACACGGGGGTGATTGGGGGAACACGGGGGTGATTGGGGGAACACGGGGGTGATTGGGGGAACATGGGGTTGATTTGGAGGCACGGGACGATCAGAAGCACGGGTTGCCTGAGAGGAAAGGGGTGATTGGTTGGGAGGCAAGGGGAAACAGCCACTGCTTGCTTGATCATCTCGTGAGTGGTTTGGCAGCAGGGGAGGGTGCAGGTGCGTGATTTGGCAATCAAGGGAGGGTGCAGGTGAGTGGTATTGCAGCAGGGGAGGGTGCAGGTGAGTGGTTTAACAGCAAAGGAGGGTGCAGATGAGTGGTTCAACAGTAGGGGAGGGTGCAGATGAGTGGTTTAACAGCAGGGGAGGGTGCAGGTGAGTGGTTTAACAGCAGGGGAGGGTGCAGGTGAGTGGTTTAACAGAAGGGAGGGTGCAGTTGAGTGGTTTAGCAGCAGGGGAGGGTGCAGGTGAGCGGTTTAACAGCAAAGGAGGGTGCAGATGAGTGGTTTAGCAGCAGGGGAGGGTGCAGATGAGTGGTTTAGCGGCAGGGGCGGGTGTAGGTGAGTGGTTTAAAAGCAGGGGAGGGTGCAGGTGAGTGGTTCAATAGCAGGGGAGGGTGCAGGTGAGTGGTTTAACAGCAGGGGAGGGTGCAGGTGAGTGGTATAGCAGCAGGGGAGGGTGCAGGTGAGTAGTTTAACAGCAGGGGAGGGTGCAGGTGAGTGGTTCAACAGCAGGGGCGGGTGCAGGTGAGTGGTTTAGCAGCAGAAGAGTCAGAGCTCTGGTGGTCTGAGTCAGGGCTCTGGCGGTCAGACTCAGAGTGCTGGCGGTCAGAGTCGGATCTCTGGCAGTCAGACTTAGAGCAGCGTGCAGCTGGAAGCGGCCAGCGTGCAGCGTGCAGCGTGCAGCGTGCAGCGGGCAGCCGGCAGCGGGCAGCGGGCAGCGTGCAGCGTGCAGCGTGCAGCGTGCAGCGGGAAGCGGGCAGCCGGCAGCGGGCAGCTGGCAGGGGGAATTGAGAAGGGGGAAGCGGGAATGGGGAAGGGAGCAAGGACGACACGTGCAGCAACGGCGGCGCAACAAGCGCGCTTCGCGAGGGGACCAAATGGGACGAGCGGCGACCCAGCTACAGTCGATCTGCAGAAGCACCTTGTGGCCAGCCCGCAACGTACGACGACTGGATAATGCGTCACTTTCGCCTAGATTTACAGCAGGGGAGCAAGATTTACAGTTACGATCTAGAATGCTAGAAACCACAGATCTAACGCACGCTAGCGCTTCGTCGCCCATCTTGACACACGATCGCAGCTTATGAACGAGGAAGGTGCGAGCCGCGCGGCTGTGAGAGATACTAGCCGACGTCGACTGACGGCCCGTCACTCTGACCGGCATTCTGACGGATCTCTAACGACCAGCACGCAGCATTCTGAAAGATATGTAGGCGTCCCGTCGCGCTTTACTAATCAGTCATTATACGCGATCCATTCCGTCAACGAAAACCTTTACTACGTGCTGTATGCTGTCCATATGTCGCGGCCCTGTCATCCACCCGCCATAGTCCCAGACAGTCATGTATCAAGAAGCTCGAACAAGGGCTGCGAGCAGAGACCCCGCTGGAGCGAGGGCTGGAAATCTGGATGGGAGGAAAGCTGGCGGATAGACCATGCCTGCCTTATCGACTGGTCTCGCTCCTGAATGCTGGTGCAGCGGGAGAAAAATCCCTAGGTTCGACTCAAAATACTTCTCCTCGCTTGCCATACAGTATTATGTTTATCCCAAGATTACGGGGCTAATTTTGACGACGCAAACTTCCCATTTTGTCTCCAACCTCTGTCAGAGCCTCCTTGCAAAATTGGTAGGCCTCCAGCGCATCCAAGCTGCCTCTTACGAGAAAGTGGACCCCGAAAGAGACGCAAAATAATTCCATAAGAACTCCTCTTACGTGTGAAGTTTTACAGTGCACGACTGTACAGTATTCTTGTACAGAAAGTGTCACTGTACCGAGTGTCACACAAGAAGGGAAACCAACCTCCAAAAGGGCCAGATCAGACGTGCCATGTCTGACCAGATTTCGTTTCATTACCACCAATTGGTTGCCGCAGAGAACGCAAATCCTTGACCATAAAACGTCAATCCAGTGCCAGAAGGCAACAGGTATTGTTACAAGACTCGACTCTTCGCCAACCTCGCCCCTTCTGTCCAGCCCCATTAGAATGTTCGCCAAAACCTTTCGCCATCTCTCTTACAGGCCTCCCTTGCCTGGCCCTCACTGAACTTCAGACGGTTGCCCCTGAGAGGTGGAGGGGGAGCAGGGAAGCCTTATCCAACCGAAACTCCCACCGCAGAGGGTTTCCTTGAACGGCTAGGGTTAGGTTCTCCCCGATTGGCTAACCAACTGGCGCGAAAATCACACGAGTCGCTTTGCTTCGTTTCGATTTGGCTGTTTTCCTTTCCCGCCTGGCGATAACGTTTACTCAAACAATCCGAGCCGTAGATCTGTTTCGTTTGAGATAAAATCTGACGGTTCTAACTCCATCGGTTCCCTCTTTTTTGTCCCAACGGCCATCCCTCCAGCCCAAGCCTCGATTTCCGAACCTTTTCGCTTCGGAGTCGCGCGACTTTCGCTCCAAAGGCACGATTCGGATTTTTTCATAGCCGTCCATCGAACCGCGAGTGTTGAACCCCACACCCCCGATCCTCCCCCACTCCCTTGGGTTTGCCTAGGGAATTCCCAGCATGGACATTCCAAACAGGAATTTCCGGGGAGCGACATTCCAACCACGCATTTCTCAGGGGCGACATTCCAACGAGACATTTTCCTAGTGAAATCAGCCGAGACATTCGAATAATTCATTTCGACGTTGCGTTCGTTCGACTCCAACTCAACTCTCCTTGTAGATGTAGCACACTCGCACTTCGACCGGGCTGCTTTTTCCAGCGCGTTCGCCATCGTTATCAGCGCTTAGCGTCCTCTTATCTCTTCGCCAAGACGCTCGCTGCTGGCTTCAACCATTACAACGTGCTTCAACACAGGTACTTTTCCCCATGTGTTTCGGTTTTTGTTTTTCCAATACTTCGTGACCGTTTCTGACATTGCCCGTTCTTCTCTTTCGCAGTCAATGTAGCATCCGCCAATCCGCCAATCCGCCATCAGCCGTAGGTGATTTTTTTAGGAGGAATCTTGGAGCTCCACGGGACCACGACGTTGATGTAAGTTTTTAATATGTCCTTAGTTTATGCTTATTCAACATTCGTACAAGTTCCTGACTCCGTTTTTTTGTTCTCGTCCAGGTTTTTGCAGGCAACGTCACATCCGCAATCCGCCATCAACTGCCGTCATAGCTGGCCATCTTCCATCGTCAAAACCGTCGGCTCCTTTCACAACGGTTTCAAGCGCTCCAACCAGCGCAAGCTTGAGATTCTTCAGGTACGCTTTTGAACTTCGACTTCCCTCTCTACGAGCTAGAATTTCATTCTCTATTCTCACGCAATTCTCTTCGCTCATGTGTTATCAGGTGCGTGAACATCCTGATTATTGCTGAAGTCAACGAGGCCAAGTCTGGGAGCGGCGCCAGGCAGCACGCACTCCCGTGGCAGCTCGCACTCCCGTGGCAGCACGCACGGCGCTCAGCATGCGTGGCTACCGAGCGTCATTTGCCGTTTGCTGCGGCGCGAGGCGACAAACAAGCCGCCGACAAAAGCCATCTGCGAAGCTAAGTGCAGGCCGGTCCCATTTCCTTCCCTGCTCGTCGCCCTTGCGTTGTCTTGTCCGTGCACCATGGACTCCATGTACCCCATCCCTCCCCCAAACGATTGCTCATCCCCACCCCCCCCACCCCCCCCACCCCCCTCTTCCCCCCGGGAGCCCATGGCCACGGCGATTGCTTGAGCCGCTTGCATAGGGTCCAGTCGCTAGCGGGTTAGGCGTCGTTAGACTTAGAGTTGTCACTGCGTGCATGCGTGAGTCTCCTCCTCCTCGCCGTCTCCCCTCGCTGTGTGCCATGGGCGCCCCCCCCCCACCCCAGGTGCCGGAGCTTCTTCACGGGTGCTGGTGCTGCTCCAGGGGACGCACCAGGGGCGATCCACCCCTTCCCCTTCCCCCGCTCCCCCCTTCACTCACCCCCCTTCCCCCCCCAGGTGCCGGAGCTGCTTCACGGGGCTCATCAGCGGCTGGCGCTGCTCCCGGGGACGCACCAGGAGGTGCCACCGCTGCTCCGCTCGCCTCAGCCGTGTCTCACTTTGCGCTCTCCTTGTTCCCCCCGCCCCCTCTTCCCCCCTTGCAGGTCTCTCCGCGTCTGGGGGAGGGAGCAGTGGGAGACGGAGGCGGGGCAGCAAGCAAGCACCTGGGGGTGTGCGTCAACAACCTGACAGCAGCCGAAAGCACCTCATGCCACGTCGCCTGCCGTGTGCGCGCGCTCACAGCATCAGCTAAGTGCTCGCTCCTCCCATGACCCACCCTTGCACGCTTCATCTCGCCTTGGATTTTCGCCCTCGTTTCCTTTTCCGCACAAAACGGTGCCGCTGGTGGAAGCACAGTGAACAACCCACAGACCCCCCTTACTGCCGGTAAAGCCCCCCCCCCAGGTAATGCCTTCAGGTACAGCCCTCACTGCAGGTATACCTTCTCTTGGGTCTGTGGCTTGCCTCTGTGCCTCCACCGGCGGCCCTCCATCTCGCCGCGCTCGCATACACCCATCCCCTTCCACGCCCGCGTTTCCATCCCACTCACTTGCATCCTCCCAGGCTCCCCCTCCCCCCCCCCTTCTTCCCTTCCCCACCTCCCCCCCTCCCCCCTTTGCAGGAGCTCAAGTGCGTGCCTCCATCTGCTCTCTCTGCTGTGGTGTCCGCCTGCTGTGCTGCTGGGACGCCTGCTGCCTCCATCTGCTCCGTGCCTGCCTGCCCCTGCCTGCACTCACCTGCAGCAAGCAAGCACCTGGGGGTGTGCGTCGGCTACCTGGCGGCAGCTGGAGTCACCTCGTGCTGCTTCGCTTGCCTTGTGCGCGCGCTCACAGCATCAGCTAAGTAAACCTCCCTACCCATACCAAGCCTTCTATGTCGCATTCCCTGCTGCTGCTCGTTCCTTTCACTCGTTGCTTCTTCGCCCTTCAAACCACGCCACTGGTTGAGACCCGCCTCACATGCCACAGACCCCCCCCACCTCAGGTAACCCCTCAGGTGCAGGTAACCCCTCAGGTGCAGGTAACCCCTCAGGTATCCCGTCAGGTTCAGCCATTGCAGGTCCCCTTGGGGGTCTGAGGCGTGTGGCCTGGCCATGCCTCCACCAGTGGCCCTCCCTTCCATTCCCTCTTCAGTGTTTGCAGCTCCTCTATTCGGTTGCTACCCATGCCATGGCGCTCACTGCTGCTGCTTGTGTGCATTGCAGGTGGAGGGGACGGGCGTAGGGTCAACATCAACACTCCCTCACGCCCCTCCCCTGAGGCTGTGCAGGGACGCACACGGGAAGTCTGGGAGGAGTACTGCTTTCTGCGGCAAGGGAGAGTATCTGGGGTGGGCTCGGCCGCTCAAGGTAAGCCCCTTTCCTTCTGCTGCAATGCCTGCTAGCTTTCTGGTTCTTTTTAAATGGGCTCACCGTTCCCTGCACTCACTTGTCTCTTCTCCCGTCCTCCTCACCACCCCCTACACCCCCTCCCCTCCCTCCTGGCAGGTCACCCTTGCACGGAGGCGGGGCAGCAAGCAAGCACCTGGGGGTGTGCGTCAGCCACCTGGCGGCAGCTGAAGGCACCTCGTGCTGCATCGCCTGCCTTGTGCGCGCGCTCACAGCATCAGTTAAGTGCTCGATCCTCCTGTCACCCACCCTTGCACGCCCTTGGATTCTCGCCATCGTTTTCTTTTCCTCACAAAACGGTGCCGCTGGCTGGTGGGAGCGCAGTGTGCAACCCACAGACCCCCCTTACTGCCGGTAAAGCCCCCCCCAGGTTAAGCCTTCAGGTACAGCCCTCACTGCAGGTATACCTTCCCTTGGGTCTGTGGCTTGCAGCTGTGCCTCCACCGGCGGCCCTCCTTCCGCTCGCATACACACCCATCCCCTTCCACACTCGCGTTGCCATCCCACTCACTTGCACCTCCCCCCCCCCCCCCCCCCCTCCCCCTCTCCTCCCCCCCCCCCCCCCCCCTTCCCCCCCTTGCAGGAGCTCAAGTGCCAGCCAGCGCTGCTGGGGCATCCGCCAGATGTGCGGCTGAGACGCCATGCCTGCTGTCTCCATGTGCTCCGAGCCTGCCTGCAGTCACCTGCAGCAAGCCAACCCGGTAAGTGCTTCCCCCTCCCTGAATCCACCCTTGCAATGCCACTGCTGCTCGTTTCAGTTTTCTCAATTTCTTTGCATGTGCTTTCAAATTCTTCCCCTTGAAAACAATGCCACTGCTTGGGCCCACCGCACATGCCACAGACCCCCTACTTCAGGTAACCCCCTCAGGTTCAGCCCCCCTCAGGTCCAGCCCCCCTCAGGTTCAGCCCCCCTCAGGTCCAGCCCCCCTCAGGTTCAGCCCCCCTCAGGTTCAGCCCCCCTCAGGTTCAGCCCCCCTCAGGTTCAGCCCCCCTCAGGTCCATATACCCCCCCCCCCAGGTGCAGGTTCCCTTGGGGTCTGTGGCTTGTGGCCGTGGCTCCACCCGTGGCCTCTCCCTTGTTCTTCCAGCCTCGGCAGTTTCCAGGCCGTGGCTTGTGCCTGCTGCCATGCCATGCACACTGACCACTGCCGTGTGTGTGCATTGCAGGTGGAGGGGAGGGGCGTGGGGTCAACACCGACACTCCCTCACGCCCCTCCCCTGTGGCCGTGCAGGGACGCACACGGGAGGCCTGGGAGGACCGCTGCCTTGTGCTGCAAGGGAGAGTTTCTGGGGTGGGCTCGGCTGTTCAAGGTAAGCCCCTTTCCTTCTACTGCAAAGCCTGCTCGTTCACTTTCTGGATGAATTTTGCGAGTGGCTCTCCCTTCACTGCACTCACTTCTCTCTTCTCCCTTCCTCCTCACCACCCCCCACACCCCCTCCGCTCCCTCCTGGCAGGTCACCTGGCAGCAGCAAGTGAGAGCGGTGCAGCAGAGCCTGTAGCTGAGCGCGGTGCATCAGCAGCAGCAACTGCAGCAGCAGCAGTTTGCAAGGAAGAGTACCTCGGCTGCTCATGTTGCAAGGGAGAGTACCTTGAGCGGGCTCGGCTGCTCAAGGTAAGCCCCTCTCCTCCCTGCTGTAATGCCTGCTCGCTCACTTTCTGTTTTTTTGTAAACGCCTACCCCGCACTCGCTTCTCTCTTCTCCCTTCCTCCTCACCACCCCCCTACACCCCCGCCCCTCCCTCCTGTCAGGTCACCTGGCAACAGAAAGCCATCTCTGCAGCAGAACCTGTAGCTGAGCGCGGCGCAGCAGAAAGCAGCAGCAGCAACAACAGCCGTAGTGCATCCTCTCGGCTTCTCAAGGTAAGCCCCTGTCCTCCCTGCTGCAGTAGCTGCTCTTTCGCTTTCATTTTCTGTTTCAGTCGGCTCTCCCTTCCCTGCACTCACTTCTCTCTCCTCCCGTCCTCCTCACCACCCCCTTAAAACCCCTCCCTTCCCTCCTCGCAGGTCACCTGGCAGCAGCGAGTCAATTCAGCAGCAGAGCCTGTAGCTGAGGGCGGCGCAGCAGCAGCACTGCATTGTGCTGCGAGGGAGAGTATCGGGGCTCGGTTCGGCTCGTATAGGTAAGCCCCTCTCCATGTGCTGCACTTCTTGTTTTTTGCCTCTCTGCAATTCTTGTCTTTCCTCTCTGTTTTTGTCTCAGTTGGTGCTCGCTTCCTTCCACTCACTCCCCCCCCCACCAACCCCCCAATTCCCCCCACCCCCCCCCTCCGGGCAGGTAACTTGGCAGCAGCAAGCAAGACTGCAGCAGAGTCTGTAGTTGAGCAGCAGCAGCAGCAGCAGCAGCAGCAGCGGATACAGGGCCACAGGGCCACAGGGCAGCACAATAGCCGAGGGCAGTTAGAGGGCGGGCTAGGGCCTTAAGTGTGAGCGAAGTACAGGTATGGTACGTTATGGTATAGGTATGGTATGATATGGTATGGTATAGGTATGGTATGGTATGGTATGGTATAGGTACTTTTGGTATGGTATAGGTATGGTGTGGTATAGGTGCAGGTATTGCGGCATTCCCCACATTCCCCTCCTCTTCCTCCCTGCCTCCCCCAGCAGCTTCTCACCCCTTGGTGCCCTGGAGCAAGTTGAGGAGCAGAGGAGGCTTGCTCACACCCCCTCCTCTTTCTCCCCAGCAGCCTCCCACCCTTTGGTGCCCTGGAGAAAGAAGGGGAGCAGAGGAAAGTCGCTCACACCCCCCACCCCCCTCCCTTCCCCCAGCAGCTTCGCATCCCTTGGCTGTGCATGGCGGTGGCAAGTGAGGTAAGCTGAAGGCGTGGGGGAGGGGATGGAGGTGGGTGGGTGGGGCAGGGTGGGCAGGGTGGGGGATGGCATGCGGTGCAGGCTTCTGGTGGCGGCACCTTCAGTACTATACGCAATGGGGGTTGGGTGAGGCAGTGCAAGCACACGTGTCAAGCACTCTGTGTCCAATCGCAATACCCGCGCGTTAATGCATAATGGGCCCATGGCAGAACCATTGCGGCCGAATGGTTCTGTCTCGTGCCAGCTCTTGCCACGCCGGTGAGGGGTAATTGGATCTTGGGCTTACCGTGTGCTTGCCTCCTGCCTCACTTGGCGCCTCAACGCAATGGGTACTGCCGGTGCTGCTTCTAAGGGGTCTGTGCTGCATGCTGCTCCTGCTGCTTGCGGGCGAGGGGATGGTGGGTGGGGCGAGGTGGGTGTGGTCGTGCTGGTGCTACTGGTGGCGTGGAGGGGTGGGGGTGAGAAGGGGTGGAGCTGGTGGTGGGTTGGAGGTGAGAAGGGGTGGTGCTGGTGATGGCGTGGAGAGGTGCTGGTGAGAAGGGGTGGTGCTGGTGGTGGTGGCGTGGAGGGGTGGTGGTGGTGATGGCGTTCAAGGGTGGTGGTGAGAAGGGGTGGTGCTTGTGGTGGCGTGGAGGGGTGGTGGTGAGAAGGGGTGGTGCTGGTGGTGGCGTGGAGGGGTGGTGGTGAGAAGGGGTGGTGCTGGTGGTGGCTTGGAGGGGTGGTGGTGAGTAGGGGTGGTGCTGGTGGTTACGTGGAGGGGTGCTGGTGAGAAGGGGTGGTGGTGGTGTGGCGTGGAGGGGTGGTGGTGAGAAGGGGTGGTGCTGGTGGTGCGGAGGGGTGGTGTCGGTGCTGGTGAGAAGGGGTGGTGGTAGTGCGGGTGAGAAGGGGTCGTGCTGGTGCTGGTGGTGGTGGTGGTGGTGTGGAGGGGTAGTGTTGGTGCTGGTGGGAAGGAATCATGACGCGATGGGGTGGTGGTGGTGTGTTGGGGCTGGTGGTGATGGTGGAGGGAAGAGGTGATGGGCAGTGAAAGAGGGGGTTGTGGTGGTGCTGGGATTTGGCAGAGGGGTGGTGAGAGCCCCCTGGCTATGTTGAGAGCCAGGCAGGGGAAGGGGGTTGGAGCACCCTGGGTAAGGCAAGCGAGGGGCAGGGGGGGGGAGGGGGGTTGGAACCCTCTGGTCAATGCGAGCATGGGGCAGGGGAATCCCCCTCCTCTGCCTTAGGCTCGCCTTAACCTGGGGTTCTCAACCCCTCTCTCTTGCCTCTCACTTGCCTTGCTCTGGTATTGTGAACCTCCTTCCCCTGCCTGGGTCTCAGCTTACCCAGGGGGTTCTCACCTTCTCTGTTCCGGATCACACTACCATCTCTACCTTTCAATTTGACCGCCCATCACCACTCCCCACCAGCACCACCCCCATCACCACTCCTCATCTGCCAGTGATACGGTGCAGTGGTGGGAGGCTGGGCTCATCCTTTCACACGGCGCCACTCACCCATCTCATGCACCCACACACCCACTTGAGGTGGACTGGGATGGGGCAGTAGGGCGTGGTTGTGGTGAGAGGTGGTGATGATGGTGGTATGGAGGGGAGGTGGTGATGGACGGTGGTGGTGGGGAAGTGGTGATGGACGGTGGTGGTGGGGGAGTGGTGATGCACGGTGGTGGCGGGGAGTGGTGATGGAAGGTGGCGGTGGGAAGTGGTGATGGAAGGTGGTGGTGGGGAGTTGTGTTGGTGGTGTTGCAATGTGGCAGGGGAGTGCTGAACTGAGACTCCAGCCTGGGGGGTTCCGCCCTCATTGGTTGGTGATGGACGGTGGGTTTCAGCTTACCCCCCGCTGGGTAAGCCGAGACCCAGGCAGGGGGTTTCCGCCCGCTCTCTGATATACCGCCCCTCCACCGCCACTACTTTCGACCTTCACTGGTGACCGTGATGGTGCTTGTTCTGTAGGGTGTATCATCCCATGGTGAACCGTGTGCCCCATGGGTGTGTCATCCCTTGGTGCATCATCCCATGGTGTGCCATGTGAGGGGGTGGTTGAGCCTAGAGAGCCCTGCCAAGAGGGTGGTGGGTGGGTGTGGAGGCTCATGGTGGTGATCATGAGATGTGGGCCGCATGCCTCTTGTTGCTTGCAGCCCAGCCACGGGTGCGGGCATGGTTGCATGCATGCCTGCACACATGGTGCTGATGGGATCAATCTGCAAGGTGCACAAGGTAGGGGCATGGGTGTGTTGCGCCCCTCCTGCTTCTTGCAGCAGAACCATCTGCTCGGCAATGGATGGCCCTGGATTGGCCAATGTGCGTCAAGGCCTGCACCAGGATGTGGTAGCCCGCCCGGCAACATGCAAGATTACGTCTTGTAATGAAGAAAATACCAGAAAGAATAAATGAACTAGAATGTGTGAGTACAAGGGTATATAGACAAGGGTGTTGTACTCTCTAAGGCACAATCCAGTATTGTCTACAGTAACGACCTAAGTTACATTTGACACACCCCTTTGACTATATAGGGGCTGTGCCTAACAGGGAAAGAAGCAGCTCAGGGCGGCACTGTCAAAAGACTAGCTTAGCTAGGAAGCCATAGAATGGCACAAGGTTTAGCTAGGAGCTAGGAGGAGCCATGAGAATGGCGAGAGGTTTTAGGTGCTAGGAAAGTTGAGGAGAGGAAAAGAGAGTTGGATTAGGAAGAGAGAGGAGTACAAGGAGGGGTTTGTACCCTCTACAGAAAAGGTTCAGTAACAACCTACCAAGCCTATATAAATTATAACTTATATAATTTTAACACACCCCCTAGGCTTGGTAGTCACACACCCACACACACCCACACCCCCTAATCTAGCACCCCCATTCCAGCCACAGTGACAGCGACTCTAGGTCGGTCGACCCCACGGCGCGTGAGGCGGCGACGTCGACCGCAGGGGCTGCGGCGGCGACGGCGGCAGCGGCGGCAGTGTCGACAGTGGCGGCGGCGGCGGCGTGCGGCTGCGTGGCCCCGACGCAAGCGGCGACAGCGGTGGCGGCGGCGGCTTCGACAACAGCGGCAGCGGCGGCGGCACCCGCACCTCTCGGTGACGTGGCCTGGCCCCGCGACTGTGGGACGGCCGGCGGGAGTCAGCCGTCGTCTGCGGAATGGAAGAGGGCGCAGGGGAAGGAGGGGGGGTGGGGGGGGGGGCGGCGCCACAGGCTGACATGCGGGCGGCCGGTCTAGCGGCGCCACAAGCGTCACGCGGCCGGCTGCAGCCCGACGACGCCGTCATGGAGCGGCGTCGATGCCGCAGCGGGGCGTCGACGCTGCGACGGCAGCACGACGTCGCTGGTACGCCGACTGCGCGCTGTCGCGTAGACGCCGCGGCAGCGTGACGGCGCCGTCACGTCGCGACAGCATCTTGACGCGACGGCGGAGCTGCGGCACGACGGCGCGGCCACAGCAGCTGGACGCGGGCGCCATGGACGTCGACAGCGGCGCCGCGGCACGACGACGCGGCCACAGCAGCTTGACGCGGCCGCCATGGCAGCGCGAGATAGAGAGAGAAACGAGCACGCAGCGGAAACGCGAGGAGCAGGCCCACACGGAACGAACTGCTCTGATACCATGTCAAAAGACTAGCTTAGCTAGGAAGCCATAGAATGGCACAAGGTTTAGCTAGGAGCTAGGAGGAGCCATGAGAATGGCGAGAGGTTTTAGGTGCTAGGAAAGTTGAGGAGAGGAAAAGAGAGTTGGATTAGGAAGAAAGAGGAGTACAAGGAGGGGTTTGTACCCTCTACAGAAAAGGTTCAGTAACAACCTACCAAGCCTATATAAATTATAACTTATATAATTTTAACAGGCACTACTAGTCCTGCCTCTGAGACAAGGGTCTAAAGACCAGTCAAAGGAGTACAGACAAGACAAGAGCAAGACCAGGGCGGCACTACTAGTCCAGCCACTGGGAGAGGCCACAAGGCCAATCAGGGTAAAATATATATATAAAGGACAGTACAAAGTCAAGGCCCTAGCAAGTGAGAGGCTACAGGAACGATACCTAGCTGTACACAGTGCCGCTGATGATCTTTAGGCGCAAGCGCCTTCGTAAAGATATCAGCTGTGTTGGCACCGGAGGCCAAGTGTACTACGCGCGCCTGGCGGCGCTGCTGGAGCTCACGCAGGAGGAAGTACCGCAGCTGGATGTGCTTCGCTCTGCCCTCGAGCCGAGGCTCCTGGCACAGGAGGATCATGGCTCTGTTGTCAGCGTACAGGACCGGGGCAGAGCTAGGCCGCTCACCTAAGTCAGCGAGCAAGAAGGTCAGCCAGCGGAGCTCCTGTGCCGCCATGGCACCAGCGCACCACATGCACTCCATGCACCCATGCATCCCGTCCACACCTGCACCCCATTCAGACATGCACCCAATGCAACCCATAAACCCATGCTCCCATGTACCCCATGCACCCCAAGCAAAGAAAAGCCAAGCGAAGCGAAGCCAAGAGAAGCGAAGCAAAGCAAAGCGAAGCCAAGCCAAGCGAAGCCAGGCGAAGCCAAGCCAAGTCAAGCGAAGCAAAGCAAAGCTAAGCGAAGCGAAGTGAAGCCAAGCAAAGCCAAGCGAAGCCAAGCGAAGCAAAACGATGCGAATCCAAGCGAAGCCACGCGAAGCGAAACCAAGCAAAACCAAGCGAACCCAAGCGAAGTGAAGCCAAGCAAAGCGAAGCGAAGCAAAGCGAAGGGAAGCGAAGCAAAAAGAATCCAAGCGAAGCCAAGCAAAGCCAATCGAAGCCAAGCAAAGCCAAGCGAAGCCAAGCAAAGTCAAGCGAATCAAAGCCAAGCGAAGCGAAGCGAAGCGAATCCAAGCGAAGCCAAGCGAGGCGAAACCAAGCAAAACCAAGCGAAGCCAAGCAAACCCAAGCGAAGAGAAGCCAAGCAAAGTGAAGCGAAGCGAAGCGAAGCGAAGCGAATCCAAGCGAAGCCAAGGGAAGCCAAGCGAAGCCAAGCAATGCCATGCAAAGCCAAGTGAAGCGAAGCGAAGCCAAGCGAAGCGAAGCAAAGCCAAGAGAAGCCAAGTAAAGCCAAGCGATTCCAAGCAAAGCCAAGAGAAGCGACGAGAAGCCAAGCAAAGCCAAGCGAAGCCAAGCAAAGCGAAGCGAAGCCACGTGAAGCCAAGCGAAGCCAAGCAAAGCCAAGCGAAGCCAAGCAAAACCAAGCGAAGCGAAGCCAAGCGAAGCCAAGCAAAGCCAAGCGAAGCCAAGCGAATCCAAGCAAAGCGAAGTGAAGCGAAGCCAAGCAAAGCTAAGCAATGTCGAGTGAAGCCTAGCGAAGCCAAGCAAAGCGAAGCCAAGCGAAGCCAAGCGAAGGGAAGCGAGGCGACGCCAAACCAAGCGAAGCGAATATAAGCGAAGCCAAGCAAAGCGAATCGAAGCCAAGCGAAGCCAAGCACAGCAAAGCGAAGCCACGAAAAGCCAAGCAAAGAGAAGCCAATCGAAGCCAAGCCAAGCAAAGCCAAGCCAAGCGAGGCCAACGATGCCAAGCGTAGCCAAGCGAAGCGAAGCAATGCGAAGCGAAGCCAAGTGGAGCGACGCCAAGCCAAGCAAAGCCAAGCGAAGCCTAGTGAAGCCAAGTGACGCCAAGCGAAGCCAAGCCAAGCGAAGCCAAGCAAATCCAAGCGAAGCCGAGCGAAGCTAAGCCAAGCAAAGCCAAGGGAATCCAAGCGAAGCCAAGCGAAGCCAACCGAAGCGAAACAAAGCCAAGCGAAGCCAAGCAAAGCGAAGCCAAGCGAAGCCAAGCAAAGCAAAGCGAAGCCAAGCGATGCCAAGCGAAGCCAAACCAAGCGAAGCAAAGCGAAGCCAAGCAAAGCAAAGCGAAGCCAAGCGAAGCTAAGCAAAGCCAAGCGATGCCAAGCGAAGCCAAGCGAAGCCAAGCAAAGCGAAGCGAAGCGAAGCGAAGCCAAGGGAAGCCAAGTGAAGCCAAGCGAAGCCAAGCAAAACCAAGCAAAGCGAAGCCAAGCAAAGCCAAGTAAAGCCAAGCGATGCCTAGCGAAGCCAAGCGAGACCAAGCGAAGCGAAGCGAAGCCAAGAGAAGCGACGCCAAGCGAAGCCAAGCGAAGCGACGCCAAGCCAAGCGAATCCAAGCGAAGCCAAGCGAAGCAAAGCCAAGCAAAGCCAAGCGAAGCAAAGCAAAGTGAAGCCAAGCGAAGCCAAGCGAAGCGAAGCCAAGACAAGCCAAGAGAAGCCAAGCAAAGCCAAGCAAAGCCAAGCAAAGGGAAGCCAAGCAAATCCAAGCGAAGTCAAGCGAAGCCAAGCGATGCGAAGCGAAGCGAAATGAAGCCAAGCGAAGCCAAGCAAACCAAGCGAAGCCAAGTGAAGCCAAGCGAAGCAAAGCCAAGCGAAGCAAAGCCAAGCGAAGCCAAGCGAATCCAAGGGAATCCAAGCGAAGCCAAGCGAAGCCAAGCGGATGCAAGCGAAGCCAAGCAAAGCCAAGCGATGCCAAGCGAAGCCAAGCCAAGCAAAGCGAAGCGAAGCCAAGCAAAGGCAAGCAAAGCCAAGCGATGACAGGCGAAGCCAAGCGAAGCGAAGCGAAGCCAAGCAAAGCAAAGCGAAGCGAAGCGAATCCAAGCGAAGCCAAGCAAAGCCAAGCGAAGCCAAGCGAAGCCAACCAAAGCCAATCGAAGCAAAGGAAAGCCAAGCGAAGCGAAGCCAAGCAAGGCCAAGCAAAGCCAAGCAAAGCCAAGCGAAGCCAAGCAAAGCCAAGCAAAGCCAATCAAAGCGTAGTCAAGCCAAGCGAATCCAAGCGAAGCCAGGAGAAGCGAAGAAAAGCCAAGCGAATCTACGCGAAGCCAAGAGAAGCGAAGTGAAGCCAAGCGAAGCGACGAGAAGCAAAGCGAAGCGAAGCGAAGCGATGCCAAGAGAAGCCAAGCAAAGCCAAGCGAAGCCAAGCGAAGTCAAGAGAAGCCAAGCAAAGCGAAGCCAAGCAAATCCAAGCGAAGCGAAGCCAAGCAAAGGGAAGCGAAGCCAGGCGAAGTGAAGCCGAGCGAAGTGAAGCCAAGCGAAGCGAAGCCAAGCAAAGCGAAGTGAAGCCATGCGAAGCCAAGCAGAGCCAAGGAAAGCCAAGCAAAGCCAAGGGAAGCCAAGCAAAGCCAAGCAAAGCCAAGCGAAGCCAAGCCAAGCGAAGCGAAGCGAAGCAGAGCGAAGCCAAATAAATCCAAGCGAAGCCAAGCGAAGCCAAGCAGAGCGATGCGAAGCCAAACGAAGCAAAGCGAAGCGAGGCAAAGCCAAGCGAAGCAAAGCGAAGCCAAGCCATGCGAAGCGAAGCGAAGCCAAGCCAAGCAAACCCAAGCGAAGCCAAGAGAAGCCAAGCGAAGCGAATCGAAGCGAAGCAAAGCCAAGCAAAGCGAAGCGAAGCCAAGCGGAGCGAAGCGAAGCGAAGCCAAGCGGAGC